TTATCATCTCATATAACTAGAAGCTGAAGTTGGTAGGCTCCAGATGTGACACCAGCAGCTCAATGATGTTATCAGGATCTTTAAGTCTTTTGTCTTTACTATTTTTGGTGTTGTCTTTACCTTAAGGTTAATTTCATCTCTTGATTTGCTACCAATAACCATTGGGACTACCTATTTTCATATTCACATATTTCAGTTTTAGGATATAAAACTCCTTAAATAATTATGGATATAAGTACTTCCTTTGAGTCTGACTGAGACTGAGCCTGGTTAGATCACTTGCGTACCACGGGAACAATATGAATCAACAGGAAAACTCCAGTGCTGATTGACTTACTCTAATCTTCCCCTGGAGCTGGAAATGGAATCAACTTCCATATCGTTGTATGGACCAGAGATGCCTTAATAAAACTGAGGTTCTTTTAGGAAAGAAGAACAGAAGAATGGTGAGGGGGTAAGCAGCCAACAGAAATTTGCTGTCTCTCTTTCCTAAGCTAGACCATATTTAGGGTTCTTTTGATCAGTGAGGCAAAGTATAGAATACCAAAAGAACAATACAAATCAAAGAGTTTTATACTTCTTTTTTTCTCTCTCAAATCAATTCTAAGCAATATTCAGGTACTATCCAAATAGCTTCTAGCCCTCTGCCAAAGATAGCATTCTTCAACCATGTGAATAGTACAAAGACCTGATGTTTGTGTAAACTGGCAATGGGGCATGGACAGATGCACAGAAGTTTTTCTTTCAGCCTATGGCCAAAACGATGCAAGGACAAGAGGGCAACTGGATTAGTAGAAAGATGGATGATCTGATCTTTTTCTACTTTCCCAGGATAAGGATGGAGGAGAGGAGTCATGGGTCCATGATATCATCCAACCCAATTTTCTACTGCCATATTTGAGATGCAATGGGTCAAGCTTCTGTCTAATGTTATTAAAAAAAAATAATAATAAAGCAAGCATGATTTCTCAATAAAGTGTTTAGCAAAAGATAAGCAGGCATTCTACCTTCTCCTCCATCAGTGCAGTTATGAAGGAGCAAAAGAGCTTACAATCTCTTGCTTAACGGTGATAGTCACAGTCTGTTCATTTCATTTATTTTGCATAAATAGAAAAAAAAATCAGTAAATGGCAAGTCAAAGAGTCTCAGACACCATGTACAGTATATTCCTAAAGTTTCCTACAGAAAAAGAAGAGAAGCTATAACAGTAAGGGCAAGAAATCATGGTGGCTTCTAGGATAATAACAAGAAAGATGGAGAGATGTGGAATAATTTAAAATGTATTTTGGAACAGAATCATAATGATTGGATGATAGATCAGATATAAGAAAGAAAAGAGAGAATGGATGACTCCCAGATTTCTGGCCAAAGCATCTAGGTAGTCTGTGGTGCCATTTCCTGAGACAGGAAAGATTATAGGAAGTGCAGATTAGTAAACATAATCAAAAATTTCATTTTAGATTATTTAAATTTGAGATGCATGTGAGATCTCTAAGTGTAGACATGCAGACATCAATAAACAGTAGGACAGACTAATACTCAGAAGAGAGGGAGGCCCACTCTGGAGACATATATACTGGAGCTGCCCAGCCCCTCTCCCTTTTCCCCCATCCCTGGCCCTCAGGTAGAAGGCTCTTGAAGCTCAGGGCATGCTTTTGCTTGGCAGACTGCCTGGTCATAGTAGTCTTATATAACAAGGAGAACCAGAGGAGGAAGTCCGATGTCAGGATGTATGTCACCCCATCAACAGGAGCTCCAGCTTGTGACCAGAACCAGACTTTGCCTCACCAACTCCTGTTCAGCAGAGCAAAACCAACTTTCACCACTCCCGGGCTGTGATATCAAAAGGGCTTTGAATATACTACTACAAATAATAAAAATTTTAAAGTTTTATTTCCAAATGTTCAATTGTTGTTAGATAGAAATACAATTGATTTTCTGTTTTGTATTCTGAAATTTCACCTATTGATTACAATTGTTTATCTGTAGAATTTGTTGTTGTT